AAATGAATAAATGTTATAATGAAAGAAAATAAAATATATAACAAAAATGCTTTTAGCCTATTTGTCATTTATTTTTGAGGCCCTATTTCCCAAGATTTTCTTTTTAGCAAATTATTTGCTACTTAATTGATCCATTCATTTAAGTTTGCATCATAGTTTTCATTTTGTGACAATTTTATTTTGTAAAGCCACTTTTATGGATCTTTATTTTGCCTATTATTTCTCATTTCTTTATTCAAATGAAGAGGACATAGATTTCTCTGCCCTGTTTGTTTAGAGCTTCAACTCAAGTTGCAGATGGATGTAGTGCGATGCTGAAGGACTGGGACACCATGGGAGGATTCACTAAGCCCATGCTTTGACTACATGTGTAGAACGGCCAAGGTCTTGTTGATGTATGGGAACAAAAACACCAAACACAAACCAAAATAATAAACCTTTAGAGACTGTTTAGAAGTTTTTATGTTGACATATCGTTGTGCAAAAGTTTTATAAATAATTGTTGAATGATACATGGAAGGTTAATGTCTAATTGCTCAGCTTGTGAGAAGCAATTGGTGTTTGTGCATGTTGCTACAGTTTGTTGGCCACATAGTACACTTAAAAGCATTTTTCCCTTTTTAAGACACTTGTGGAGACCAAAGATGTATAAAGTTGAAGGAAGTTGGGCACAAAACACATGTTAGTAAGACAGCAGCATAAAAAGGTAAACATAAAAAGATTACCAACCTAAAAGTCATACCTGTTTGAGCTCTGTAGGATGTGAACCTTTTCCAAAAGTTGGCAAATAAAGCAGTCATGTTGAAAAGATTAAACCCATTCTTACCTTGAGAGTCAGTATTAGGAGACCCTACTGTTGGTTAATTTGAAATAAGCTTTTTGCTTAAAATCCTTACAAAGGCAGAAATCTGCCCCTTTAATTAAATACCTGGATTAAATGCAATATAAAAAAAAATATAATAAAAGTTGTTTAAATGAAGAAAAACTGGAAAAAAGTCCCGTAAATATGTAGCTTAAATGCATTTCATCTCCAAATGAAATCCCTTTGACAAATAAACCAAAGTTTTTCATAAATATCTATCGTTTAAAAAAAGTAACATTTGAAATATAAGATTTAGACAAAATAAACATTAAATAATGTTTTGTTATATGTTTTTGTTTATTTTATTGGGACATTTGTTGATTTGGTGAAATGTTTATTAGTAGTTTTTTAAAAGCTCATACCTTTAATAACTCATTTTTGTATTTAAATTAACAGCTCTACTTCCATTACAAAGAAACAGATGGAAACATAGCAAATAATTAACATAGTTCTAAAGAAAATATGTTCTCACTAAATGACACTCCCTTCCAAATAATCCTAAGTAACCGTTACGTACTCTAAGGATCCTCCCATTTAATGCTTTCTGTACATTTATAAAAGGAGGTTTTCAAGAAAATACAGAATTCTGCACTGGGAACCAAGCTGAGAGGTAAGAATTCAATGATTCTTGATTTATCATCATTATTCATACAGACAAAATAATAATGATACCCTATACATAGATACACCGCTTAAGAAAATATTTCATAAATGATGTAATTTTATGATACTATTTTAACTGATACTGATACACATACACACACACACACACACACACACACTCACATATATATATATATATATATATATATATATATAAATACATTTGGTATCAACTTTTTTTAATGTATGAAAATATAATATTCTTGAATGCATATTCCTAATTGTGTATATTGCAAAGTTTTGTTGAATTTGACAAAGTATGATGTTTTTTATTCCAGCAGAGACAAGATTCATTTGTCAAAATGAATCTCCTTGTAAAACTTTTTTTGTGTAAGTATTCTCCCCATTAAAATTATTTGTTGTCGACATCAAAGCACTTGATATCCGAGATTTCTGACCTAAGTAAATTTAAAAAATAATCTGCTATAGCTGTTTTTTTTTTGTTTTGTTTTTTTGCTTTCTCTTTTTTATGTGATTTATGTTAAATAGATAATTGAATTAAAAGTATATCAGTAATTTGACATCCTACTCTCCTTCTTTTTTTAAACCTCCAGTTGGCTTTGGCTTGCTCATTGTGTTTTACTTTCATTGCTGCGCCGTCAGAAAGGAGATAACTATCGCTGAATGTTTGAAGGATCCTGACTATAATGAGCTACTGGAAATAGCAAACAACAGCCTGTCAAAGACAGACAACCCTCGTCACGTTGTTATTGTCGGAGCTGGTATGGCTGGACTGACAGCGGCAAAGCTGCTGGAAGATGCCGGACATAAAGTAAATGAAACATTGAAAACATCCAGAGTAACAAAAAGCCATGTTAGCATTTTTGTCACAGTTTTAAAGTAAGTAACTTTTCAATGACAGAACCTTCAGCATGAACTTCACATGCTGACATTTTAATGATAGAAAATTATGCTGCACGAGAACAGCTGTGCATGACATTGGCATTGACCTTTCTCACATACTAAACACAACTCTGTAACCTTAGCAGTTAGCACAACTAACATGAGCTATCTTTTCTTTAGGCATTTAGCTACAACACAGCTCGTGTGTAGCAATGGCTGTATATCATATATAAAAATATGTTATAACGTGGTGTTCAATGTTTTTGAACACATTAAACTGCATTTATTTACTGATCAAGGTCACCATATTGGAGGCCAGTGGTCGAGTTGGGGGACGAGTGGAGACCTACAGGAATAAAGACGAAAACTGGTATGCAGAAATAGGGGCCATGAGATTTCCCCAATCTCACAAGTAAGTTTGAAAAAATGCATAATTTCCTTGATTTGTTTATTTTAGATTTGCACTATGAAATTGTATGACTTATATAAAAACTGCATTCCATTTTTTAATTTGCAAGGCAAATTCAGGTACCCCCTAGATTACATCTATTAAAAAGTTTATTCTGTTTTGTGTTTAATTAAATATTACTTCCAGAGCGCACATTTGAATGTAAAACACATTAAGTAATTAAATATGAGTTTAATGATTTAACTTAAGTTCAGTGACATATGTGAACATCCAACATAAATAAGATTAGAAAAATAATATAAAATTAATATGGCCAGGTTTTTTTTTTTTTTTTTTTTAAACAGTAGTTTATATCGTATCTTTTCTTCACTTCAACTTCAATATTCAACCTCATCCTGAATATTTTCCCTTTGCAACTAAATGTTATGAATACAATGACATTTTTACTTATTCTTCTTTTAACACATTTCCCAACAGGATAGTTTTTACCTTTGCTGAAAAGCTGAATGTGACGTTCAGGAACTTCACTATGGATGACAACAACACATATTACTTTGTCAATGGGGTGAAGAAAAGGAATCATGAAGTGAAGAAAAATCCTGACATTCTGGGGTACAATGTGACAAAAGAGGAGAAGGGGAAGTCAGCTGAACAACTGTTGGAGCAAAGTTTGCTTAAGGTGCGACAACTCAAGTGAAACAATCTAAGCTATACTGAAGAAATGGCTGCTGGGTTCTTCTAAAGATTTTATTGAGACTAATAGTAAAGTAAGAATATCAGACAAATATCAGTGAAATTGGAAATGGAAAAAAGATTATAGACAGCTTGAGCTTATCTAAACACATATGAACTGTCAATTGTTTTTTTAAAGTAAGTTATTTTAGCATTTTTATAGCAAGTCAAGATAAGTTCTAATGTTCATGTGATCTGGCCCAATGCATATTTTCATTGCTGAAAATCATTTGTTTTTTTCAGATCTATGGTAAAAAAAAAAAAATAAATAAATTTTAAATGCTAAGAGATTAGATTTTATTACTGAGCTACAAATAAAATATGCATGGTAGAGTTTCAAAATTATGATTAAAAATTCACTTGAATTCCATGCAATAAAGATTAGCGACTTTGAAGTCAAATTCAAACCAAAGATCAAATCTTGGAAAAGGCATTTTTATCTACTATGTCATAAACAGAGAAATGGATATATATATATTCTTTTTAATTGATTTGTCAGCAGAAATTATGAAGTCTAATTTTTCTTCTGTGTTACATTGATTAAAACAATCTTGTTTTTGGTTTTGTAGGTTAGAAATGACATAGAAAATGGTGGCTGTGATATAATACTGGAGAAATACGACAGATACACTGTAAAGGTAAAAAACAATTTCATTATGTTTTGAAAGTAAGAAAGAAATGCATTTAAAATGTAACAAACATTTTGAAAAATGTCTGACTGGACATTTACTGAGTATTTGTTTAAGATATTTCTTAATTTTTAAAAATCACAAACAGAAACATTATGTCTTCTTAGCTTGACAATGATTTACATTGGCAGCCATTCATTTTCATTTACCTTAGTGTTAAACCTAACCCCTAACCAAAAATCTGCAGTTTTTGTTATACTGGCTAGACTTACGCTAGAGTTGGTTTTCCAAGATGAAGTCATACAGTTCAGGACACTTTTGGAGGATTTATTTGCTTGATTCAGGTAATGAATACATAAAGAACTCCATCCATCCATCTTCTCCCGCTTATTCTGTTAGGGCCACATTGGGGCCGGTGCCTATCTCCAGCAGTCTATGGGTGAAAGGCAGGGTACACCCTGGACAGGTCACCAGGCAAAACAAAGATGCACAGAGATATACAACCATGCACACACTCATATCTAAGGACAATTTAAAGAAGTCAATTAACATTCATGTTTTTGGATTGTGGGACAGAGCCAAAGTACCAGGAGAAAACAAACACATGCACTTGGAGAATATGCAAAATTCCATGCAGAAAGACCCCAGGCCAGGAAACTAATCCGAAATCTTCATGCTGCAAGGCAGCAGTGCTACAAACTACACCACCGTGTAGCCTACATAATGACCTCTGCCTCTGAATTAGGATTTCAGAGTCCCACCTTGGTTTAGAAAAGTGTTTCTTTGGTTTATGTCAAGAAACAAAACAGTGGATCTTATAAAACAAATCCCAAAGGTACTGAAATAAATAATGAAGAAAGTTATTCAGAACTCTGATCCCAACTAGGAAAAAGTGGTTGAAAAGACGAAACGATTTATATCCAAATGACGTCTACATGTGGTTGAAATGTGAAAGTTGAAAAGCCGTAATTTTCAAATGGCTGACTTATCCAGTATTCATGTAATTTCAACATCTACAATTGTCTAAAGTGGGACAAAATCAGACCGAACAAACACAGCCCAATTTTTTATTATTTCTGAACTAAATCAAGGCTATAGCAGACCGACCAGATCGAGCCTAAAAACCAATGTCAAAATGACATATGGTCTTTGGGAGGTAATACTAGAAGGAATTTCTGTAATTTGTTAAGCCTAATGATGACAAAAATCTGTTTTTAATGTGATTTTGTATAATGTGATAATGTATAGTCTTATAAGTAATCAGCAAAAACAATTACTTATGTTAAAACAATGAAATCAATGTGCTGAACAAGCTTTTTGTATGTTCTATTCTGCCAATTTCACCATATTTAATGTTAAAGAGCACAAAGTCTTCCTGCTTTTTAGTTCAAATATATATGTTATTAAGACAAAAACCTCCTGAAAATTTGGAATTGATTGCTATTTATACAGCAAATTGTAAGAGGTGTGCTAATTATATTAAGCTCACTCTGCCACAGTTAGTATCCCCTCTGTAACTTTGCTATATAAGAGCAGTCAACTCAGAAATTTCAGATGTAATTAATCATTACAAAAAATATAAATTTGCAGTAGAAAGTTAATTTGTGATTTAAAAAAATGGAGATTGATTTAACAAATAATGATTTTAATATGTAAAAATAAACAGAAACATCCTTTTAAAGGCACTTTGAATGTATATCAATAAAACAAAAGTCCAGGTTAAGCCTTAAAGTGTGTTTCTCTCCATCAGGAATATTTGAAAGAAGTTGGAAAGCTTAGCAACGAGGCCATCAGGATGATAGGAGATCTACTTAATGAGCAGAGCCTCATGTACACAGCCTTCACTGAGATGCTCTATGACCAAGCTGACGTCAATAATTCTGTTCGGTAAGCCTTAACAGCTGGATAAAATCCATCAAAATAATAAAAACTATGAGACATTTTCATACATATGTTATAAGGAAAGATAGTTATACACATTTATGTTATTTTGGATCTTATTAATTTTGGAGAACTGTCTAGATGTTCTAAAGTACTATTGATATTTATCTGTGCAAATAATCTATATCAGTCATGATATAGCACAATCTTTTTGATTTGAAGGTACCACGAGGTGGATAATGGCACGGAGCAACTCCCCAATGCTTTTCTTAAGGTCCTTTCCACTCAACCTAATTTGAATGCTACCGTTCAGTCTATCAACCGTAAAGAAAACGGTGTCGTTGTAGCGTACATGGAAAACCAACAGCTCAAACACATTAAAGCAGATTATGCTCTGGTCACAACTACTGCCAAAGCTGCTCTTTACATGGACTTTGATCCACCCCTTACGGTTAAAAAGATGGTGGCATTAAGAACAGTTCATTATGACAGTGCCACCAGAATCACTATGACGTTCAGTGAAAAGTTCTGGGAGAAAGATGGCATCAAAGGGGGAAAAAGCGTGACAGACCGACCCTCTCGTTTCATCTACTACCAGAGCCACGATTTCCCGGAAAACCACACTATTGGAGTGATCCTAGCCTCCTATACCTGGTCTGATGACTCCAGCCTCTTCCTCGGTGCCAGAGATGAACAGCTGAAAGAGGTGCTTCTCAGAGATTTAGCTGAGATCCATGGTCCCCACGTCAAATCCCTCTGTACCGGTATTCTGGTGAAGAAATGGAGTCTCGATCCATATAGTTTTGGTGCCTTTGCACTTTTCACACCTTATCAACACAGGCAGTATGCTGATGAGCTCTTTAAGAATGAAGGCAGGATTCATTTTGCTGGTGAGCACACGGCCCTCCCTCATGCTTGGATCGAAGGGTCTATGAAATCTGCAATCAGGGCGGCTCGGAATATCAATCATCATGCAATGCAGCATTTGGATTCAAACCAAGATAGAGATGAGCTTTAAACTTTAATGGTGAAAGTTTGAGCTACTGTATTACATGATACAAACTTTCAGAGTAAAGTTGCAGAATACTTCAGCTTTCAGTAACATTAATTAGATTTTGGTAAACTTTTTTTTACTTATATGATTTGTGCTCAAAGGACATAAGAAGATTTAGCAAATACCAAAATCACATTAAAGGCAAATAGTTCCTTTTTCCTACATTGCAAGCCCAGAAGTCATGTAATACCTTGTGGGGAAATGTATCTGGCTCTCTAGTTTGCATGAATCTATGGATATCTATCAATATTCTCTTTTTTTAGTGCTATTGCAGACCATGACAACATCTACAGTGTAACTTTCAACTACTCTTTGATAAACATTTTACAAAATGCAAGGCTGTACAGTTGAATGATAGTTTTTCCCAACAAAAATATCTCCTGTTTGTTCAGTTGTTTAAATAAAATTTCATTAAAATGTCTGAACAAATAAACACAGGTGTAAATGTCATTTCTTGTATTCAAACAGAAAAACACACAATCTGACCTTAAAACAATTGTTTTCCAGTATTCTTTCTCCCATTGTTCAAATTCATGCTGTTTCACCCTGATCGCTTCCATTGATTTAAAACGACCGTGCAGTAGATTGTTTAAGAATAACTTTAGGAATTTTAAAAATAACAGCAAACAAAACAGATTTGTAGAAACATTTTGTGTTCAGACATATTTAAAAACCCATACCCTGACAAAAAACAAAACAAAAACATCCTACCACCAATGAGGTAAATAAAATCCAAAATAAGCAATATATTCTAAATATAAGCCTTTAATTTGTTTATTTACAGCAGTTAAATAATTTATGTGAAAATAAATAAAAATATTAACTTAAGAGAATTCTGTTGCATTAGATGAGTAGTGGGACCTATGATGCATAAAATAATAAGAAAACTGTAATAACACAATACTGTTAACAGAAAGGATTAAATAGCACTTAAGACAATATTAAAGACAACTCTTAAAGTGTGTCTCCTTTAGTAACCAGTTCTGAAGGAAACACTATAGAATATCAGTGATTCTACAGCACAGATGAGAATTTGGCTCAGGAGGAGGAAACAAGTCAGGACCTGTTGAAGGACTCAGTTAATCATCAGTTATCTCTGACACATATAAGCAAACTATGTTTTACAACCATCAAACTTGTAGCAGCATGTCCAAATACCCACTTTTTTAAATGATTTGAAAGTTGTACTCAATGGATATAAAATACTCTGGAAAGAAGAAAGTCTCACACTGCAAAGAAGGAAATATGAGTCATTTTGTATAAAAATAAGGAGATTTTTTTCTTGAATTAAAAAGGTAAATAAAATCCTTTGCTATTGGAATAAGACCATTTAGATTTAAAATAAGAAAAAAAATGGAGTCGCTTATTTCAAGTGTATATAATCAATTTATCTTATTTTAAGGGTAAAAATACTCATTCCATAAGCAGATCATACCTATTAATCATTATTAGTAGGTAAATAATTTAATAATGTACCTAATTAAAGGTAAATAAACTTATTATAAGACATGTTGACTCTTTATGTTGTTTTTGTAGTGAATAAGTTTTTCATAATTATTCTGTAGAGACCAACCTGAAAGGACTATAGAGCTATAATGGAAACAAATTATTTTACAAAGCATTGCCAAACACATTTCAGCTCCTAATTGTTAAATAATGTTGAATAACGATCAGTTCCCTTTTAATCATTTTACAATAATGTGTCAGTTTCTGTTTTCTAGAGTATCCATACTGACCCTAAACCTAGGAAATATTTTCAAATATAAAAAAATTTATATTTGAAAATATAAATTTTTTTAATCTACACTAATAGGTAAAATTAAATTGTGATCATATTTACTCTGAAGTGGTTGTTTATTTCTAACACGGGAAAAAAATAAAATAAAAGTTTTAATAATAATAATAATTAATAATTTATTAAAAATAACAAAAGATCTCTGCTCCAGGAGGAATTCTTCCATTTTTATAGTTGGAAGCAAGTCTAATAAAAATGCTGCATTTAAAGCTTATTTTGCACTATTACTAATAATAAGTTAACAACATGTACAGACGTCACTCGGAAAAGGAATGGTTAAAAAATAAATAAATAAATAAATAAATAAAAAAACAAAACATTTGCATGCTTGAAGAATTATCTTTTTGGACACAGTTTAGTGTTTTAGCTCTTCATATGCAGCAGCTTCTTTACATGTCTGCCTAAAAAATGCTCCAGGCATCTGGCGTCAATCCAAAATGCTGCTGCCCACATCCTCACTAAAACTAGCACATCACCCCAGTCGTTACGCTGACTTCCTGTATCTCAGAGAATAGACTATAAATGACTTCAGCTAGTCTATAAATAGCTTCATGGCTAAGCACCAAAAAATATTACACACTCGTCAATGAATCAACAACCCAGACATCCCAGGTGTTCTGGCTCACTGCATATCAAAAACCAAACATGGAGAAGCACTTTTTAACTTCTCATGCTCCACTAGCCTGAAACACAACTCCTGCCACTGAAATATGCTGCATAAATAAAATTGCCTTGCATTGCCCTGCCTATATATAAAAACATGGGACATTAATTAAAATGTGATTTATTAAAGATGAAAAAACTGTCCCAACACTCCTGACTAGAAAAAAGTAAATTCTCCCTAAACCTAATGACTGTATATGTGACTCGTTGTGGAAACCTTTCAGCATTTTGGATGTCCCTTATTAATCCTTACACTGTTTTTCCGGAATTTTGCCCCCCCCCCCGCTTTTTTTTTGAAAAGAGGGCCCACCAAGGGGTTTATTTGGGACTGGGGGATAAATACATTATCATTATTTGGTAAACATTTTTTAAAATAAGCATCATTGAACTTAATTTGATTGAAAATCTGCAGTTCATATACTGTCCACCAGGGAGCCATGTTTAGACACAGTAGACTAAATTATGCAACAATGCATCAGAAACAACAGCAGATGGTAGCTCTGAGCCGTAGGTTCTGTAAGTAGCGTTTGGTTCTATTGCATTACCTGCTTTTCCTGTTGGCCTGGAAACTTCATCGACGAAATGTCTTTGTCAAAAAAAAAAAAAGAAAAGCAGATACAGAGTGTCAGATTTTATAAGAAAATGTACATCTTTCTATATGTTCAATTAGGTGAATGGAAAACCTGTGTGCCTTTTATTACTGGAGCAAAATTTCAGAAGTTAATGATGAAAATCAGGATGGTGAAGAACACCACAGCTTGCACAGAGAACTGAGTAAACAGAATCAATGTGCTTTTTAGATTTAGTGGACGACCAGTTGATCTACTTAAAGTTAAGAGTAAAGTATAGCAATGTTGATCCATTGCAGCAGCTTTCAAAACAAACCAGCATTTGTATGTTCACTATATCAGGAATCCAAAAAAAAATACGAGGAAAATAATGTAAACAGTTTAACAACCATAAGCACAGTAGGCAATTCCTTATGTATGTTTTCAATCCTGCATTCAGCCATTTTTGGCCTAAAGTGCTTCTTTTCTTTGCTAGTTAATTAGTTAGTTTGCTGGTTATTTAGTGTCCTGTCCCCTGTGTTCTTGTGAATACTGCACCATTGTAAACTTTAAATATACATCCCTATAGCACATGTTCAGGCTTGCATACAATTAGTTAACTCCTACATAACACCCTAAGGCAAGACCAAACTGAGCTTTTAAAGATCAACATATTTCTTTAGAAACCAGTTTTTGGTTTCTCAACATTTGTTCTGCCCTCATTTTATATATACAGCTGCTCTATCCAGCTAGGCACATAATTAATAGAAGAGTTGTTTACAGTTTCTACTTTATTCCCTTTATTCTTTAACAATGTAAATCCGTACAGCATTCAATAAAACATGGTAACATGTAGAACTTATTTTATGTCTACTCAAACTCAAAACGTTCACAATCTAAGAACACTTAAAGTGTTCTAAGGAATGTGTTTAGTTTAAAAATTACATTACATATAGCTAAATAATGTTTGTCAATTAGCTTCATTTGCCTAACAATTTATTAGCACAGTGGTAAATGCTTTAATTACAGTCAAGCATATTAGTTTTTTTTCTTTCTTTTCCCAAAACCCAATGAACCCACTGACAGACATTGTATACATCATAGCTTCAACATATATACCATTTTAAAGCCTTATGTAGGCCAAGACTTCACAAAGACATGTGAACTTCAGCCAGAGCATTTTACAATGAACTCCAAACAACTGCCTCCTACAATAGTAGGATTCACCAAACAGGGGGTCAGAGAAACCAAACAACTATCTATGCATTTTAATCATCGCATTTACTATACAAATATGTTCAATTAATTCACCAATGAAAGGAAATACCTGATCTGCAAAGCAATAGCTGTTAAATATTGGTGGCCTTTGGACGAGTTACACAAGGTACTTTCAGTTTGAAGTCCTGCAAAGGTTGCTCTATTGAAATACATATTTGGCAAAATATCTAATCTTTGACTAATAAAGCTAATATTGACACAAAGCTGCACATTTGTATGTGGACAAAGAGCAATCATTTTTTAGAATTCATTTAAAAAAGAAAAAAGCCGTTCATCATTTTCAAGGAACCCAGGCGAAACCTGTAAAAAGTTGTAAAGGGAAGATGTAGGTTAACAAACGTTCTGAATATACCTTCAGCTTCTAATATTTCAGATTGCACATATGATAAATTTACCAATAATAAATCCCTTGATCTATTTGGAATAAATTCAAAAGTTTACAAAGAGCTTAACAAAAAACGTACATTTTGGTTTGAAATTAAGAATATAACATTTACCCTAAGACATAACTAGTTTAGCTGCACTAGTTGACTATAATCATGCTATAATGAAGAATCATAAATGAATCAATAATCAATGTCAGATCTCATGCTACAAATACCAGCAAGTTTATTAAGTGGAAAACTTTGTTTATTTTAATAGCTTTTGTTTATGTTCAAATGAATTTAAGTTATTTGGAACTGAAAATGTTTATTAAAATTTATTATACTGTTCAACCTGTAATCATTCATGTTTCTTATTTTTGTGGT